CGCGCGCCCAGGGGCCGCCGCGCGCCCTGCGCTCCTTCGACCTCACGCCCAGCATGGCCGGCGTCATGGTGCCCGCCATCCAGAGGTGGCCCGGCAGCTCCTTCGCCTTCCACGCCTGGCTCTGCCTCAGCGAGGAGACCGAGCGGCGCCCGCCGGCGACGAGGAGGAGGCAGCTCTACAGGTGGGGATGGAGGCACAGCGCGGTCCTCCCCGGCACAGCCTCCGCGCTCCCAGGGTGGATGAGGATGAGGATGGTGTCTCCCACAGCTTCTTCACGGCCGGTGGCACGGGCTTCGAGGCGTTCTTCACCGCCGCCGGCGTCCTCGTGGTGGCCGTGTGCACCAAGCGCGACTACATGACGGTGGCGCTGCCCGAGGTCACCTTCAACGACTCGGCGTGGGTGAGTGCCACGGGCGGGCGGGCGGGCAGGGCGGTGCCGTCGGCCCCGTTTGCGGCCCCGCGGCATCGCCCGTGCCCCGCAGCACTGCGTGGACGTGGTGCACGTCGCCGGGCGCCGGCCGTTCGGCCACAACGTGCTCCACATCTACGCGGACGGGCACCTGCGCAAGACGGCACAGCTGCGCTTCCCCTCGCTGCACGAGGTGAGCGCGGGCGCGCGGGGACACCCCGCCGGGCGCCACCGCCGTCCCCGCTCACGCCGCCTCCCCCTCGCGCAGTCCTTCACCTCGTGCTGCATCGGCTCCGCGGGGCAGCGCACGGCGACAACGCCGGGCGCCGCCGCGCCGCCGTGCCGCGCGCCCGAGCCGCCCTCGGCGCCGCACCCCGCGCTCTGCCGCTCGCAGTCCTTCCCCGCCTCGCCGGGCGCCCGCGCCTGGACGCCGCTGCAGCCGCCCACCGAGGGCGTCGTGGCCACGGCGGCCGCCGGCAGCCAGGACGCCGAGTGGGGCACCCCCACGTCCCTCGAGGGCCACCTGGGCTCCGTGGCCATCTTCTACGAAGCCCTGCAGCAGGCGCAGGTCAAGGCGCTCTTCGCCGCGGGTACGTTGGGACGGCGGCGCGGTGACGGCCGCGGGGCTCGGGGCGCCTCCTCACCACCGCTCTCCTGCCCCCAGGGCCCAATGTGGCCTCGCCGCTCAAGCTGGAGGGCGATCTGGGGGAGCTGGGCAGCAAGCTGCTGCTCTACTACACGCCGCAGGTGAGGGGCATGTGCCACGGGGCCGTGGGCACATCAGCTGTCCCCGTGTGTCCCCTCATGCGGTGGCCCTGGCCTCTCACAGGCCTGCAGGAACAACATCTGCCTGGACCTCTCTCCCAACCACGGCTTCGACGGGCGGCTCACGGGGCACCGCGTGGTCAACTGGGATGTCAAGGTACCGCCGGGATGCCCGGGTCCACCTCTGCGTGGTGGTGGCACCTGGGGGACCTGTCCGGGTGGGTTTTGGGGAGGGTTTTGTTTCTGGAATGCAAGTAGACTGGGAAATGGGAGGTTTGGGGGGACCTTCTGCGTGTTCATCACATAAGGTTGGTCATAGACTTCGCTAGCTCTGGGATCCAGGTGTTTCCAGGGCCGGGAACCCAACGTGGGCTTGGTGGCCGCTCATCTCCTGGCATCTGCACGGCGTCCTCCTTGCGCGAGGCCGAAGGCAAAGTGGTGCCCCTCACCATCCTCCCTCCCGCAGGACGTGGTGAACTGCGTGGGCGGCATGGGGGTGCTGCTGCCGCTGCTCGAGCAAGTGGCGGCCGAGCCAGAGGAGGCCGGAGACGAGCCGGAGGCCAACGAGCTGGTGGGTCCCGAGCTGACGTCCTGCAGGAGCGCCCAGGGCATGCTCATCCCGCTGGGCAAGTCCTCAGGTGAGCCCCTTGCCTTCCTCTCCCGACATTGGCACGCATGAGTTAGGCCCAAGCAAGCAGGGCCCGCCTTCCTCCGGTTCCCCTTGGTGTGGAGTCTCTGGTGTCTTATAGCGGGGTTGGGCTCATGCAGACACCTTCGCTGTAATAGAAGAAATTTTGGGCGTTTCTGGCCAAATTAGAGGGAAATAGGTGAAGGAGCTGGAAAGATTGCAGAGAGGATGGAAGACATGGTTCTTTGTAAAGCATAGACAAATCCACAACAACACCTGGGGTCATCGGGGTGCCCTGTGCAAGGATGTGCCCAGCAGTGCCGCACTTGCAGCTCCCTGCTGGATTTTGCCCTCTCGCTGTGCCTTCCAGAGAGCCGCCTGGAGAGGAACAGCGTGGCCGCCTTCCTGCTGCTGGTGAAGAACTTCATCCAGAACCACCCGGTGAACCAGGAGAGCCTGGTGCAGTGCCACGGGCCAGCCATCATCGGGGCCCTGCTGCAGAAGGTGTGCGGGGCCGGCCGTCGCGAGGCCCTGGGGTGCCGTGGCCGGGCTGCAGCCTCTTCTGTCCCCCACGTGCAGGTCCCCAGCGCGCGGCTGGACATGAGCCTGCTGGTGGCTTCGCAGATGCTCATGGAGCAGGTGGCCTCCGAGGGCAGCGGCCTCCTGCTGCACCTCCTCTACCAGCACCTCCTCTTCGACTTCCGCATCTGGAGCAACAGCGACTTCGCCGTGCGCTTAAGTGAGAGTCCAGGGCTGCCCACGGGCACCCACCGGGTTCCTTGTGCCACCCGCGCGACCCACAGCGTGGGCTCTGCTCCGTAGGTCACATCCAGTACCTGGCCAACATCGTCAAGGACCACAAGCAGCGCATCCGCAAGAAATACGGCGTGCAGTTCATCCTGGACTCCATCCGGACCTACTACAGGTGAGCGAGGGTTTGGGCACCTGGGGTTCTCCAACCTCCACGGGGCGACAGAGGCAGGTGTAGGATCTTCTACCCCACCATAGGCCCAAGGCCATCCCTATTTCTGCCTCAGCGTGTAAGACCCCAAGCAACCCATCGGCTCCAAAAACCATAGTTTTGGGATTTGGGATCCTGCTGGCCCAGGTGACAGTCTCAAGAGCCTGGAAAGAGGGACCTGCGGGCGGGGTGGGTGGCTGTGCCCATGCCCAGCGCCAGCATGTCTCACCCCCAGCACCCCCAAGGAGAAGCCCACGGCCTCCGACAACGTCAAGACGGTGCAGACGTCGCTCTTCAGCCTGGTGAAGGACTTCTTCTGCAGGAGCTTCTCCACGGAGGAGATGCAGAGCTTGCTGAGCTACGTGGCCGCGGCGCAGGACGAGCAGCAGGTACAGCCCCGAGCCACCCCACCAAGCCCAAGGGTTGTCTTGGCCAGGCAGGAGGGGGTTTAACCCCCAACCAGTGGGGCAGGCAGAGAACCGAGGGGCTCACTGCACAGCTGGTCCAGAGCCACCTCTCCAGCCCCTCAAGCTGCGCTCAAGCCTGTCCGGACCAAAGCAGCCAAGATGCCAGGCTGGCACCGTGTGCTCATGCCCTGGCCGGTGTCCAGGTGTGTGGAGGAGGTCTACAGTTGGCCGCATTGCCCGCAGGTGTGCGGGGCCCTGGAGGTGATCCACAGCCTGCTGAAGGGCTCGCCAGCCCAGGAGCAGCTCTTCGCCTTCCTCTTCGAGCCGGGCAGCGTGGAGGTCCTGTTTGCGCTGCTGGTGCAGAAGAAGTTCTCGGATGAAGTGCGAGAAAGGGCCTTCAAGGTGAGCCAGGGCCTTCATGGCAGCCACGGGCTTTGTGCCGGTAGGATTTCATTCCCTTCCACCCTTCTCCACCTCTCCAGATCCTCTACAAGATGCTCAAGTATGAGAAGGTCCCCGAGCGCAGCAAGAACCGCCTGAAGCTGAAGGACATCGGCTACCAGGGGCTCATCGCCTACCTCAGTGACGTCCCCGGCTCCGTGCTGCTCTTCCGCTGCCTCTCGGAGCAGGTCCTTGGCGCAGGTACCATATGCTGCAACAAGAACCCTATTTCTAGACTCCTTGCACCGCCCATGGTGGGGTGGTCGCTGTGGGTGCACACTTGCAGCTTCTGAAGATGCTCAGACAATCGTAGGGCTGTTGCGGGTCCCTTTGGTGGCTTTTGGAGGACAGGAGCACCCACCACCGTGCTCTGCTCTTGCCCACAGATCCCCCCAGCTACAAGGACCTGGTGGCCGTCGTCTACCTGTCCCACCGCGCCGAGCTGACCGTGCGGCTCGATCTCTGCCGCAAGGTGAGCAGAGCCCGCGGGTGCCGGGCAGGAGCAGGCGCCCGCCGTCCCTCAGAGGGTCCCCTGTCCCCAAGGGGCTGCCTTGGTGACCGTGGCTGCTTTCCCTCCGTGCAGCTCTTCCACTTGATCTACTCGCAGCACGACATGGTGAAGCAGCTGGCGAAGCTGGCGGGCTGGCAGGACACGCTCACCAAGCTCTACGTCAAGGAGTCCTACGAGTCGCGCCAGCACAGCCTCAGCATCTCGGGCAGCGGCGGCTGCCTCGAGCTCCTCCAGCAGCCGGACTCGCCCAGCAAGGAGGCCGGCAAGGAGGCGCCGGGAGACACCAGCCCACCGCCCGCCGACCTGCAGGAGCTGGATGTCTTCCTGCCACTGGGCTACGAGGCCTCGGACCACGAGCTCTCGGAGGGCTTCTCCGACCACTCTCTCTCCCCAACCGGTCGCCTCAAGTCCTTCCATTCCTACAACTTCAAGTCCTTTGACTCCTCAGACCGGACCAGCCGCTCTTCCTCCAACCCCGGGGACCACGGGGAAGGTCCCACCGGGGACAGCCTCCCGTTTGACAGCGTCTACCAGCCGCTCTCGCCCTTCTCCACCTCTCCGTTCGACCTGGGGCTGGACCTCGCCAGCACCAGCTCCATCGCCACGGCGGAGAGTGGGAACCAGACGCCAGCCAGCGGTCCCGGCACCCCATCCCCTCTGGAGACCTTCAAGCCCTTCCCGGGGCTGCGAGCTCGCAAGAGCTCCAGCCTCTCCAATGTCCTTGACGAAAGCAGCTACCAGGACACGCTGCCCTGTGACAACATCTCCAACACCAGCAACCCCCAGGTAAGTCCGAAATGTCCCACCAGGACCTGGAGATCTGCTGCCCAAGACGGCAACTGCCACGCTTGGTCTTGGCACCTTGGATTCACGCTCTCTTTGCCGTTAGCAAATGCCCGAGGAGGAGCTGTGCAACCTGCTGACCAACATCATCTTCTCGGTGACGTGGCGCGGGGTAGAGGGCTGGGACGACGCGGCCTGGAAGGAGCGCGGGCAGGTCTTCTCGGTGCTCACCAAGCTGGGCACGGCCTGTGAGCTGGTGCGGCCCCCTGACGAGATCAAGCGCAGGTGAGCGGCCACCAGGCGCCATCCCAGCCCACCGCCCAGGGGACAATGCTGCTCCATCTGGGAAGAGCTGGATGGAGGTAAGGAGGGAGACCCCCTCTCTTTGACCTGGGCCATGGTGACGGGCCACCAACTCTCGCGCAGCCTCCTGGAAATGATGTTGGAGTCGGCGTTCACGGACCTGAAGGAGTCGTTGCCGGCCGCGCTGCCCAGCCTCACCCAGAACGCCCTCAAGCTGCTGCGGCTGCTCCAGGACTTCTTGTTCTCCGAGGGACACAACAACCAGGCCCTGTGGAGCGAGAAGGTGACCCGGCCCAGGACGTGGTCCTATCTCTAGCCATAACCGGGCACTCTAAGCCTAACCCTAAAGCTATGATGTTAAGCCCTTAACCTAAACCCCAACTCTAAACCCTGTTCCTACTCCTGAACTCCAAACCATAAACCCAACCCTAATCCTAAATTCTACCTCTTAAACCTAAATCTAAACCCTGATTCCAACCCTGAGGTCTAACTCTAAACCCTAAGCCCTAACCCCAATGCAAATCTTAACTCGTAACCTGAACCCTAAATCCTAACCCTAACCTGCTCCAAGAAAAGCAGGACTCCTGGAGGAGACCAGTGGGTGATGGGGAAAGGCCCGCTGGCTTCACACCCACCCAGGGTGACCATCCTGCCCGTCCCTGTGTCCCCCTCCAGATCTACGAGGGGGTGAGCAGCCTGCTGGACAAGCTGGGCGTGTGGTACCACTTGGCCAACGGCACCTCCGACCTCAAGGAGATGGCCCAGACAGGCCTGCGCATCCTCGTGGGCTACATCATGCTGCAGGACCCTCAGGTGCGTCACCCCCTCGAGGGCATCCTCCGGGGACACCAGGTGGCCTTGGCAGCCCCGTGCTGACACCTGGCTCGTGTCCCCTGCCCAGCTGCACTCGTTGGCCTACGTGAAGCTGCACAGCCTGCTGCAGACGGCGTCGGCGCCCCGCAAGGACGTGGCCTGCTACCTCCTGGGCAAGCTGGAGACCCCGCTGCGGCGCTCGCTGGACGCCAAGTCGGAGGTCTTCTCCTGGCTGGTGCCCATCATCCGCACGCTCATGGACCAGAGCTACGAGAGCCTGCAGCTGCAGCACTTCTTGCCCTCGCTGCCCCCCACCAACGGCAGCCCCACTTTCTATGAGGACTTCCAGCTCTTCTGCACAACGGCCGAGTGGAGGGGCTTCATCGAGAAGCACGTGGGTGCCCTGGGGATGCTGGGGAAGGGGTGGCAGGGGTCACCCCGGAAACACCTCCGCTCCCATCCCGGCTCGCCCGGCAGGTGCAGCCCACCATGGCCCAGTTTGAGATGGACACGTTCGCCAAGAGCCACGACCACATGTCCAACTTCTGGAACGCCTGCTACGACGCCATGATGAGCAGCGCGCAGCGGCGGGAGCGCGAGAAGACCACGAGCCGGCAGATGTTCCAGGTGGCCGCGGGCGCCCCGGGGCCGCGCTTGCGGCCGCCCCGGCCCCGCACGTCCCATCCTCACCGCCCCGTCCGCAGGAGCTGGTCCTGGAGCCGTCGGCCAAGCGCGCCAAGGCCGAGAACGCCCGCCACGCCAACGTCCTCAAGCAGGCCGCCAACCACCACAGCACCGTGCTCAAGCAGTGGCGCAGCCTGCGGCGCCTGCTGGCCTCGCCGCGCTCGGCGTGGGCCGACCGGTGAGCACCCGTTGTCCCCGCGCGCGGCCCCGTGCGGGGGACATGGGCCGGCTCATCCCGCTCTGCTCCCACAGGAACCCGCCGGAGACCCGCTGGAAGCTCTCCAGCGCCGAGACCTACTCCCGCATGCGGCTGAAGCTGGTGCCCAACCTCAATTTCGACCAGCACCTGGAGGCCAGCGCCCTACGGGACAACCTGGGTGAGGGAGAGACGTGGGGATAGGGCACTGTCGTGGACGGTGATGTGTCCACCATCAACCATGGGTTGAGCTGTGGACGGTGGTGTGTCCAGCATGGGTTGAGCTCAACGTGGCTCGTTGCAGGAGCTGATCATCTCCACAACCCCGCCGAGTCCCTCCCGCTCGCCGTGGCCAAGGAGGCCAAGGTGAGCGAGCTGAAGGATGACCAGCTGGCCGAAGAGGATCTCCCCGTCCTGGAAAGCCAGTGAGTGTGTCTGTCTCCTGCTGCGCTTCTTGGAATGAGGTTTTTGGACCATGTCACCGTCTCAGGGATGGTCACGTCTGACCTCCTGGAGCTTCGGGGTGCTTACACTGGCAGGTCATGGTGGGTCCCAGAGGCTGGGACCCGCCTGGGGTCACCTGTGGTCACCCCATGTCACCCAGGAGCGAGCCCAAGGAGCAGAGCCAGCGGGAGAAGCTGGTGATCTCAGAGGACTGCGAGCTCATCACGACGGTGGCTGTCATCACTGGCCGCCTGGAGGTCACCACTCAACACATCTACTTCTACGACGGCAGCAGCGAGAAGGAGGAGACGGAGGAAGGTACAGGGATGGGGTCACAAGAGTCCAAGTCTCCTCCAGGTGTTCCCAGAAATGTCGAGACACCTGGGGATGGGTGCAGATTCCTGCAGCACGGCAGTGAAGCCCCCATCCTCGATCTCCATGCGGTGATGGCCTTTTTGAGGTGGCTCTGCTTGGAGCAGGCTTGTCCCAGCTCCCAAGTCCATGCGTGGGGTGAAGTTCCAGCTCCTGGGTGGCTCCATATCTCCATGCGTCGTTTTGACGAGGCGCACGGGGTGGATGGTGAACCCAGGGTGGTTTTGTGCTTCTCCCTCGGCAGGGATCGGCTACGACTTCAAGCGGCCCTTGTCGCACCTCCGCGAGGTCCACCTGCGCCGCTACAACCTGCGCCGCTCGGCCCTCGAGTTCTTCTTCATCGACCAGGCCAACTACTTCGTCAACTTCAAGAAAAAGGTGAGGGCACCACGGTACCACGAAGGCCACCCCGGTGACCCCGGGGTCTCATCAAGACTTGGGACCGGGAGCGCTGCCCACTGTCACCTCCGTCCCCCAGGTGAGGAACAAGGTGTACTCCAGCATCCTCGGCCTGCGCCCGCCCAACCACATCTACTCCAGCAGCCGCTCACCCCAGGAGCTGCTCAAGGCCTCGGGGCTCACCCAGGTACCAGCGTCACCTCCATGTCCCCCCAATGGTGTCCCTGCAAAGAGCAGGGGTGGCCCTGTGGCCCGTGTGCCCCATGGTGCCATGCTGGGGACAGCATGGGGCACGGAGTGATGTCCCCACGGGGCAATCCAGTGCTTCCCATGCCCACCGTGCCTCTCAGACCCCTCTTTTTGCTCCAGAAATGGGTTCTACGGGAGATCTCCAACTTTGAGTACCTCATGCAGCTCAACACCATCGCGGGGCGCACCTACAATGACCTCTCACAGTACCCTGTGGTAAGGACCCTTGGCCACCGCCGGTGCCCCTGCGCTGGCCGGGATGGTCACCCACGTCCCCTCTGCTCTCCAGTTCCCCTGGATCCTGCGCGACTACGTCTCGGAAACGCTGGACCTCAGCAACCCGGACGTGTTCCGAGACCTGTCCAAGCCCATCGGGGTGGCCAACGAGAGGCACGCCAAGGACGTGAAGGAGAAGTGAGGAGGAGGAGCAAGGGCTTGGGGCAGGAGCACCCACCTCGGCTCCCCGCCGACCCTTTGCATCCCCCGCAGGTACGAGAGCTTCGAGGACCCCACGGGCATGATCGACAAGTTCCACTACGGCACCCACTACTCCAACGCCGCGGGCGTCATGCACTATCTGATCCGCACGGAGCCCTTCACCACGCTGCACATCCAGCTGCAGAGCGGCCGGTGAGCGCCCCGCGGCCCCGCGTCGCCCCGGGGCGGCCCGCGGCGACCCGCCGGTGCCCACGGCCTCCCCGTGCCGCCAGGTTCGACTGCTCCGACCGCCAGTTCCACTCGGTGCCAGCGGCGTGGCAAGCGCGCATGGAGAACCCCGTGGACGTCAAGGAGCTCATCCCCGAGTTCTTCTACTTCCCGGAGTTCCTGGAGAACCAGAACGGTACGGGGTGGCCGCGGGACCCATGCGGGACGCCTCCATCCCAACGCCATGGCTTTTCCCAACCGCTGCCAGTTCTTCCTGCAGGCTTTGACTTGGGCTGCCTGCAGATGTCCAACGACAAGGTGAGCGACGTGGTGCTCCCGCGCTGGGCCCGCTCCCGAGAGGACTTCATCTACCAGCACCGGAAAGCCCTGGTGAGGCGGCCCTCTCCCAGCACCCCTTCTCCTTGGCCTCTCCACTTAGAGGGGATTTGGGGCAGGGGGCACAGCGCAACCCTCTCGATGCCGTGTCTCCGGGCAGGAGTCGGAGTACGTCTCGGCCCACCTCCACGAGTGGATCGACCTCATCTTCGGCTACAAGCAGCGGGGCCCGGCCGCCGTGGAGGCCCTCAACGTCTTCTACTACTGCACGTATGAGGGTGAGTTGCAGGACGAGAGAGGACACAGCGGCGCGTGCCAGCGTCCCCATCTTCATCCTCATCTCCAGGGGCCGTGGACTTGGACGCCATCGCCGACGAGACGCAGAGGAAGGCTCTGGAGGGCATCATCAGCAACTTCGGGCAGACGCCTTGCCAGCTGCTCAAGGTAGCAATGGGGAGGACGGGCATCCAAGTGGCCTCCCCGGGCCACAGGATGCCCTGGTCCCCACGGGCCACCTCCTGCCCGGCAGGAGCCCCATCCCGCGCGCCTCTCTGCCGAAAACGCGGCCCGCCGCCTGGCCCGCCTCGACACCCACTCGCCCAACGTCTTCGAGAACCTCGACCAGCTCAAGTCCTTCTTTGTGGAGGTGAGGGCCACGCCGGGAAACGTGGCAGGACCGTAGTCCCTTGGGCAGGAGGGACCTGGGGGGCTCGGGGCTGGGGCTGGCAGCGAGGAGGGCACCGACCGGTTGTGGTTGCTCTGCAGGGCATCAGCGATGGAGTGGCCTTGGTGCAAGCCGTGGTCCCCAAGAACCAGGCCCATTCCTTCATCACTCAGGGATCCCCCGACGTCTTGGTGAGTGAGGGGCTCAGTCCCGCGCCCAGCAGGGAAACGGAGGCACAAGTCCAAGCTGTGGATCCCACGGGAGCCAGGAACCCAGCGTCCTGCTCCTGGGTGCAGCGGGAGCCCCATCCCACCTGAGTGCCACCTCCACCTGCCCACAGGTCACCGTGAGCGCCAACGGCTTGCTGGGGACCCACAACTGGCTGCCCTACGACAAAAACATCTCCAACTACTTCAGCTTCACCAAAGACCCCACCGTCTCCAACACCAAGTGAGTCCAGCACATGCCCAGCTGGATTGGTCCCTCATCCCTGCCCAGGGTGACTCCAGCTTGGCCGTAGGAGCTCCCCAGGTCCATGGGGAGCGCCGGCGCGGAGCGGGTGTTGACACCGGTGCTGTGCTCCCCATCAGGACCCAGCGCTTCCTGCAGGGCCCCTTCGCGCCCGGCGCGGACCTCTCCAGCCGCACGCTGGCCGTGTCGCCCGACGGCAAGCTGCTCTTCAGCGGGGGCCACTGGGACAACAGCCTGCGCGTCACCGCGCTGGCCAAGGGGAAGGTGGTGGGACACATCACCCGGCACATAGGTACAACACAGCGGGGACAACCCTGGCACAGGGAGCAGCCGTGGGGCTGTATCTGCGGGCTCCCTGGTCCTGGAGACCCCAGGAGGTCCTCAGCCATGGTGGGATGGAGCTCATGGCTTGTCCTTCGTCCAACCCCACAGACATTGTCACCTGCCTGGCGCTCGACCTGTGCGGCATCTACCTCATTTCTGGCTCCCGCGACACCACCTGCATGGTGTGGCAGGTCCTGCAGCAGGTACCGAGGAGCCCCTCTCCTTCCTCCTGCCCTGGCTGCTCCGTGCCCTGAGCCCTTCAAGGTCTCTTGCTGCCACCAGGTGGCTCCTGGGCAGCTTCTGTGCCCTGCTCAGACCTCTGAGGTCTTCTCTCTTTGGCCAGGGTGGCTTCTCCAGCGGCCTGGCTCCCAAACCCGTCCAGGTCCTCTACGGCCACGACGACGAGGTGACGTGCGTCGCCATCAGCACCGAGCTGGACATGGCCGTGTCAGGCTCCAAGGTGAGCTCGAGGTGGGCAGCGCGGCTCCCTCCTCCGCTCGTCCTCCCCTGGCAAAGCGCTGGATCCACGTTGTCCTCCTCGGCAGGACGGCACCATCATCATCCACACCGTGCGCCGGGGCCTCTTCATGAAGTCGCTGCGGCCGCCCAGCGAGACCTCGCTGCCCGTCGCCATCTCCAGCCTGGCCGTGGGGCTGGAGGGCCAGATCGTCGCCCAGACCGCCGTGGGCGAGCGCTCCTCCCTCAAGGTGAGTCCTCCACGCCCGTGGAGAACCTCTACCCCCAAGATGTCACCATGCTCTGGGAAAGTCCTGTCCCCAAGTTCCTTTCCAAGCTGGAGCCAGATGCCACCTCCATCACCGCTTTGTCCTCCTTCTCCATCACACCTTGGTCCTGCTCAGCTCTGCAGGGTTTCTTCTGTCCCCTTCCTGCACATTGGTCCTTGGTCCTTGATCCCCTTGATCCCCGTTGATCCCCTTTTCTTTCAGGATAAGTTTGCCCTGCACCTCTACTCAGTCAACGGGAAGCACCTCTCCTCCGTCCCGCTGGACGAGCAGGTGACAGCCATGTGCGTCACGGAGGACTTCGTGGTGCTGGGGACCATGCAGTGCGGCCTGGAGATCCGCGACCTGCAGAGGTAGAGGCTTGGACCGGCTCCCGCTCCGGCCTCATCCGTGGGCACCGCGCGGTGACATCCGAGTTGTGCCCGTCCTCTCGCCCTTGCAGCCTCCGGGCAGCGGTGCCCCCCGTGCCCATGCGGGTGCCCGTGCACAGCGTGTCCGTCACCAAGGAGAAGAGCCACATCCTGGTGGGGCTGGAGGACGGCAAGCTCATCGTGGTGGGCGCAGGACAGCCCGCGGAGGTAAAGGGGACCTGGGTGCTCCGTGACGGCGCGCCGAGCCCCTGCGGGACCAGGGGACGGTGGTGGTGGCCACGGTGGTGGTGGTGGCCACGGTGGTGGTGGCCACGGTGGCCTCGTGTGTCACTGTGTTCTGTGCATGTGGCTGGACCGAGGGCCCACTGGAGGAGATGGGGGGATGGAGAGGGATGAGGGAATGGGGATTGGGAGCAGGAAGGGTTGGGGTGGGATAGGGAAGGGGCTAGGGGAGAGGAGGGGGAGCCCAAAGGGCTGGAGATGGAATGAGGAAGAGGAGCTGATGGGGATGGGGAACGGGGTGGCTGTGGAGATGGGGGTGGGATGGGAATGCGGAAGGGGACAGGGGGTGGAAATGGAGCAGAGAAGGGAATGCAGGGAGGGAAGGGGATAGGGATGAAGATGGGGATGTGGAGAGGGAAGGGGATGCGGATGGGAATGGAGTAGGGATTTGGGATAGAGAGGCAGAAGGGGATGGGGAAGAGGGTGAAGAGGTGGAAAGGGATGGGGAAGGGCATGGAGAGGGGGAAGGGGATGGGGATGGAGATGGGGATGGAGAGGGGGAAGGGGGTGGAGATGGGAAAGAGGAGGCAGCCGCGGACAGGGCAAGGGCTGGAGCTGCCGCTACGGCTCAGGGCTGGGGACAGGGCTGGGGACAGGGATGAGGGCAGGGATGAGGGCAGGGATGAGGGCAGGGCGGGGGCCGGCCGGGCGCTGACTCCCGCCCCGCTCCAGGTGCGCCCGGGGCAGTTCTCGCGGCGCCTGTGGCGCTCCACGCGCCGCATCTCGCAGGTGTCGGCGGGCGAGACCGAGTACAACGGCGGCGGCGACAGCGGCGCCAGGACGTAGCCCCCGTCACGCACGGAGCCACCGGGGACCCCGGCACCGCGGCGGGGACCCCGGAGCCGCGGCGGGGACCCCAGAGCCACGGCGGGGACCCCGGAGCCTTGGTGGGGACCCCGGCACCGCTGCCTTCTTGCACTAGGGCGCCGCGCAGGGCACCGGGGCGGGGGGCGTCCCGAGCGCCCGGCAGCGCCGTGCCGGCCGGCCCGGAGCCCGCCGGCCCCTTCCCGCCCCACACACTGGTTTTTCTATCAATTTATAGCTCTTTTACAAAAAAGAAAATATATAGAGAGAGAGATATATAGATACAGACGCAGAGATGACTCTGTAGACACGTTGACACTCGGCACACGTGTTACGAGTGTAGGGGGCCTCAGCTGTCTGCATTCACCTGCATGTGTCACAAGCACGGTGGGGTCTCAGCTCTCGGCATTCGTGTGCCCCCGCGTCACGAGTGTGGGGGATCTCAGCAGCTCCATTCCTATGTGTCACGAGCGTGGGGAGGTCTCAACAGGCCCATTCCCATGTGTCACGAGTGTGGGGGGGTCTCAGCAGCTCCATTCCTATGCGTCACGAGCGTGGGGAGGTCTCAACAGCCCCATTCCCACGTGTCACGAGTGTGGGGGGTCTCAGCAGCTCCATTCCTATGTGTCACGAGTGTGGGGAGGTCTCAACAGGCCCATTCCCACATGTCACGAGTGTGGGGGATCTCAGCAGCTCCATTCCTATGCGTCACGAGCATGGGGAGGTCTCAACAGGCCCATTCCCATGTGTCACGAGTGTGGGAGGTCTCAGCAGCTCCATTCCTATGTGTCACAAGCGTGGGGAGGTCTCAACAGCCCCATTGCCACGTGTCACGAGTGTGGGGGATCTCAGCAGCTCCATTCCTATGTGTCACGAGCGTGGGGAGGTCTCAACAGGTCCATTCCCACGTGTCACGAGTGTGGGGGGTCTCAGCAGCCCCATTCCCACATGTCATGAGCATGGGGGATCTCAGCAGCCCCATTCCCACGTGTCATGAGTGTGGGGAGGTCTCAGCAGCCCCATTCCCACATGTCACGAGTATGGGGGGGACCTCAGCAGCCGCAGCCCCCACATGTCACGAGCGGGCTGGGCCTCAGCTCTCAGCAGCGCCGGCCCTGCACGTCCTGCGCATGAGCTGGGGACGGGGGGGGGGCAGCCGCACACCCATGTCACGAGCGCGGGGCGTTCTCAGCAGCTGCTTGCCCCCCATCACTGGCTTGGGGGGGGGGCTGCGCTTTCAGCAGCCGCGGCCCCACGTGTCACGAGCGGGCTGGGCCTCAGCTCTTGGCAGCGGCGGCCCCACGTGTCACGGCCACGGGGCAGGGCGGCTGGCAGCGCCGGGCCCACGTGTCACGAGCGCGGGGGGGCTCAGCCCTTGGCAGCCGCGCACCCACGTGTGGGCAGCGGAGTGGGGCGGGGGGGAGCTTGGCAGGCGGTGTCACGAGCGCGGCGGGTCTCAGCGGGGCCGGGCTGCGGCCGCCCCGTGTCCTCCCCTGCCCCGGCGGGGCCCCGCGGCCGCCCGTGCCCTCTGGACCGGGTGTCCCGGGCGTCACGTGGCGCCCGGCTCGGCACACGCGGGCAGGTTGGGAACGCGCGGACGGACGCACGGACGGACGGATGGAGGGAGACGGCGGCGCAGGGACGGGGGCTGCCCCGGCAGCGGGGGCTGCGGCGGGACGCGGCGGGGAAACTGAGGCATGTGGCACCCACCCGCTGCCAGCTGGGAGCCGGGAATGGGGCTGGGAGCAGGGAATGGGGCTGGGAGCTGGGAATGGGGCTGGGAGCTGAGAATGGGACTGGGAGCTGGGAATGGGGCTGGGAGCTGGGAATGGGACTAGGAGCTGGGAACGGGGCTGGGTGCAGGGCTGGGAGCAGGGAGCAGGGCTAGGAGATGGGAATGGGGCTGGGAGCCGGGAATGGGGCTGGGAGCAGGGAACGGGGCTGGGAGCTGAGAATGGGACTAGGAGCTGGGAACGGGGCTAGGAGCCGGAATGGGGCTGGGAGCTGGGAATGGGACTGGGAGCAGGGAACAGGGCTGGGTGCAGGGCTGGGAGCAGGGAGCAGGGCTAGGAGATGGGAATGGGGCTGGGAGCTGGGAATGGGGCTGGGAGCAGGGCTGGGAGCAGGGAACAGGGCTGGGAGATGGGAATGGGGCTGGGAGCTGGGAATGGGGCTAGGAACAGAGTTAGGAGCTGAAGAGGAGGGCTGGGAGCAGGGAACAGGTCTGCATGGAGGGCTGGGAGCAGGGAATGACACTGGGAGAACGGAATGGGGCTAGGAACAGGGCTGGGAGCTGGGAGGAGGGCTGGGAGCAGGGAACAGGTTGGACGGAGGGCTGGGAGCAGGGAACAAGGCTGGGAACACATGACCAGGAGCAGGTCTGGATGGAGAGTTGGGAGAATGGAACAGGACTGGGAGCAGGGAAGGAGGCTGGGAGCAGGGAGAGGGGCTGGGTGTAGGACTGGGTGCAGGCTGCCGTTCTGGGAACACCGCAGGACTGGGAACAGCTCTGGGTGCTGGGCTGGGAGCACAGAGCAGCGTCGGGAGCAGGGAATGAGGATGGGAGCCGGGAGCAGAGCTGGGAGTTGGGAGCAGAGCTGAGAGCTGGGAGCAGGGCTGGGTGCAGGGTGCAGGGCTGGGAGCAGGTCTGGCTGGAGGGCTGGGAGCAGGGAATAGGGCTGGGAGCAGAGTGTGGGACTGGGTGCAGGGTGCATGGCTGGGTGCAGCGCTAGGGGCATTGCTGGGTAGGAGCCAAGGTGCATTCAAGGCACGGGAAGAGGTGGGTGCTGGGCAGGCTCAGGGCTGGGGACAGATTGCATTGCTGGGTGCATCACTGGGTGCATCACTGGGTGCAGAGTGCATTGCTGGGTGCATTGCTGGGTGCATCACTGGGTGCAGAGTGCATTGCTGGGTGCATTGCTGGGTGCACTGCTGAGTGCAGATGGCATTCCTGGGTGCATCACTGGGTGCATCACTGGGTGCATCGCTGGGTGCATCACTGGGTGCATCGCTGGTTGCATTGCTGGGTGCATCACTGGGTGCATCACTGGGTGCATCGCTGGTTGCATCGCTGGTTGCATCGCTGGTTGCATCGCTGGGTGCATCGCTGGGTGCATCGCTGGTTGCATCGCTGGGTGCATCGCTGGGTGCATCACTGGGTGCATCACTGGGTGCATCACTGGGTGCATTGCTGGGTGCATCGCTGGGTGCATCGCTGGGTGCATCACTGGGTGCACGCCAGGGAGCATGCACAGCACTGAGCAGAACCAGCTGCAGCGCCCCTCTCCATGCCCCCATCCCTGCGCCCGCCGCAGGGCAGCGCGTGGCTGGGCCGGCGCCTGGAGGAGCTGCCCACGCCGGCGCTCGCGGTGGCCGAGGGCACGGCGCGCCGCAACGCCGAGCGCATGCTGCAGCGCTGCCGCGCGCTCGGCGTCCGCCTGCGCCCCCACGTCAAGACGCACAAGACGCTGTGAGTCCCCACGCACGCGCGTGTCCCTCCC